CTCACAAGTATTATCATCTTCAGTTACTGACAATAGAAATACACAATGTCACAGACCTCCTCACATTTCTGTCCTATAGAGACCTTCACACAAGTCCCCATGGTCAACGATATCCATTCATGACCACTTACAGTTGCTTTCCAACAGTGGCATATAATCTCTAACACATATAATCTCCTTGACAATTAAGGAAACAAAAACTCACACTGGCAGAAACTATCCGATGAGTATAAACAACTCCACACAGGGTCGCAGACACCAAATGGGATCCACAAACTCAACCAGAGCAAGACACACTCATCTGTTCAACTACCAGACCCAGTTCCAGTCTCTCGTACCCAGGTAAACTCGGAGCTCCGCCCAGGGTCATTCCCACGTACTTCACTTGGGGTGTTGCCCCCAGTCCCCCCGCCCCAGGCCTACGTCCCTGGTCACCCCCCATTTTCATCTTTTCCAGCTCTGTACTCCACGATGCGTTCCTCTGCCTTCGCTGAGAACCTTTTAATTTCCCCTCGGCCACACCAAAGACACGTGAGCAGATACGCGTTCGCCCAGGAAGGGAGCTTCTTCCTCTAGCAAAGTCAGGGTAGGCTTAGGTAATGCGTCTTTGATAGGAGGGCCGAGTTGCATGCTGGGACATTCTGAAGGTCCCAGTTTCCGGGGATGTACCTGCTGTGGACTACATTTCCCAGAAGTCTCCAAGTACAGGTCTTTTCCGCGCTGGGCGTTTGCCTGCGGGGAGCGCTTGAAACCGCCGGACTCCCAGCCTCCTAGGATTTTCTGGCTCTCTTTTCCCTTAAGCCTCTGGGCCCAAGCTAGCCACGGTCCTTTTTCGGTGTCCTCTAGGTTCTTGGGCGCTGCGCGGTGAGTTGGTCGCGTCCCAGGAAGTAGTCAGCGCCGGGTGAGGGTGGGAGGGCTCAGTCGACTTTACCGGAGCGGGATTGGAACCGGCAGTGAGGGGTGGCACCGGGAGGCGCTTGAGGTTTGGGAGCCTGGGTCGCGGACGGGGCGTGGCGTGTCCGGAGTCTCGAGCTTGTGTGTCCGTGAGCAGCTGGGAAGGGTGGTGTGTGACAGGCGGCGAGACAGGGCCGGGATGTGTCTTGATGATGAGGTGCGCGGCCCTATTTGTAGGTGTGGTTTGCTTTGGCTTTGTGTTGTTAAATTCCCTCTAGATTCTTAGGGCCTGCCAAAGTTAAATGACTGCAAGAGAAGAAGTTCTGTACTAAGTCCTAGGATGAACGTTTCAAGAAGGAAGGCACCGGTCTAGTCTTGGGATGAGAATTTTACATCTGAAAGTGTCCTTGTGACAGACTCCTGGGAAGACGTGATGAGGTCCCAGAGGTAGGATTCCTAGGCGGGGCACCTCTGCTCCTTGGGAGCCAACCTCATGTTTCAGAGTCACTGTTCCTGGACACTTGTTCCCAAGAATTACTGTCAACTCAGAGATAGATCCCAACCTCCCTTTGAACTCTATTTGGCTGTGGGTGGATGAAGGGAAGTGTGGCACTAGAGGTTATTTTGGTTCTGTTTTTTTCTTTTTTCGTTAAGTCTCTGTGCTCCAAGAAATGCTGCTGTCTCATGATTCCTCTTTCCCCTACTGCTGTTGGGTTTGTAAGAAGGACCCTGAGGAGGAGGAAAGAACTATTACATATTTAGAAATCGATGTTCAGGTGAGTTTGTTTCTTTTTTATTCATACAATTACTTTTGTTTTCAAATCACGAGAATATTTGCTCTGCTTGGCCTGAAAGATCTTGGCTATCCCGGGTCTTCCTTCCGGTGAATGACCCACCATGTTGATGCATCCCTTTTCCTAGCGGCCACCCCCCATTGTCCTTTTCCTCATTTAATTGCCATCTGTTCACATGGCAAGTTTTCTAGACCCTTCACTGTATTCTTCCTTTCTAGGCATTCTGATGGTATAGAAAAACACCTCCTGGAGATTAATGTTAGCGCTTTATTTTAGAGCATGATCACTTGGGGAGATTAGTATTTAGATAGTATGGTGTACAAACGGTATCTTCTCCACAGTCATGATTTTTAAAGCAAGGCAAGGTAGGAGGGGAGAGAGAGTTTCAGTTAATAAATTTCAGTGTTGAGAGGCTTTTAGGGGCAGGAATGTGACTGAGCTTTTGATAGGGCTTTGCAGTTTGCACCAACAAGGGCAGAGACTTTAAGACAATCTTTAGGTAGAAATCTGTAACATTGCTAAGCATGAGTTATTTCAGGTACAACTTTGTGTGGGCTGTGAGAAGCAGTACTGTGTTGTGCTTAAGAGTAAGGCTCTGGATCTACAGCATCTGGATTCATATCCTGGCTGTCTATTCCTAGCTGTGTGAGCTTAGAAAAATGACTCTGGTTCTCAGTGCCACGTCAATAAAATAGGGACAAAATAATACCTACCTTATGGGGTTGTAATGATGTGAGATGAGTTCATAAGCGTAAAGCTCCTTAGAGCAGTACCTGCCCCATGATACAGGCTTGGTAAATAGTAAGAGTTGCTGTTAGTTGGTGATTCTGGATCCTTCTCCGTTGTCGCGTCCCGCACGACATGAGCAGTGGGAAAATGAGAGGGGGCGGCAGAGGGTTAAGAAAGAAAAGAAACAGCAGTCAAGAGTTAAATGAGTGTGGAGCCAAGGGTCTCCAGCCTCGTGGACTAAGAGCCCCAAATTGGGCCGACACACTGCTTTTATTTCTCCATCTACCCGGAAGTAGCATTGTTCTCTCCACAGTCTGTGAGTCTCATTCTTGAGAATTTGCTCAAGATTTTCTCAGATTACCCATGCCTGCAAGCTGCTAAGACCCAGAGTCCGCCTGCAGCCATAAGACAGATGCACTGCCTTCACACACCCTATATGCAAACGACCCCAGGAAGATAAGATTATTGTGCTGAGGACAGATACTATCACACCATCAGGTCACTTCCCAAGCAGGTTGAGGGAAGGAATGTAGCTACAGAGGTAGAAAACCTTCAGGTTTTTTTGGGGGGGGGGGCGAGTGAGGGCTCATGCCCACTTCCATCAGCCCCGAGATTTCTCCTAATGGCCTCCACCTGACCGTGCCTGTCTTAGGTTGTTCCTTCCACAAGGAATCTTACCCGTCATTGACTAACCCGTCATCCTTTGGAGCCAAACAGGGAGANTAGATTGAAGAACCAAAGGACAGCAACTTGTCTGTTCCCTTCCCCAATTCCCCAATGCTGTTCCCCTCCCCCAATTCCCCAATAAAATCTTAAAAAAAGAAAAAGAAAATAAATTAGTGGTTGCCTAGGATTGGAAGTAGGCATGGGGGTGGTAGGAAATGGGGAGTGACTGCTAATGGGTACAAGGTTTCTTTTTGAGGTGATGAAAATGTTCTCAAATTGTGATGATGATTGCACAACTGTGAATATTCTAAAAACCACTGAATTGTACACTTTAATGGGTGAACTATATGGTATGTGAATTATATCTCAATAAGGTTGTTATGTAAAAAAATCATGTATGTTAACTGGTTAACCTTCTGGAAAAGTAGCATCCATCTCTCACACATGAAAACAAATAGAGTTCACAATATTTATAACTTAAAAATAGGCCACCAGAGTACTTATCAAAATACATATTGATTTTATTATAATTTAGGTGTGTAGGTGTGCTGCTTAAAGCACAAATCATGGAGTAAATTGTTAAATTCCAGAAAATATAAAGTATGTTTCAGTAAACTTGCCTACCTTCAAGTTTAAAGAACAAATAACCTAGGGGAAATTACTTCAAATATGAAAAACAATGCACTTAACTGAAAACAAATCAATATATAAATGAACACAACAGTGTATGGAAATGAGCTAAGGATATGAATAGAAACTTGAAAATTGAAAATGACTAACAAGTATTTGAAAACATGTCCAAGCTTATGACATATAAAAGACATGAAAATACAAATATAAATTGTCATTATTGATCTAAGGCTTGGGAAAGATGAAAATTAATATCCAATGTTGTAGATTTTAAGGAAATATAATTATTTCTAGTGGAAGATAATTAATTTACAACCTTTCTGAGAGTTACTTTATATAAACTAATGCAAACATCTCTTATCCAGTAATCTATTTCTAGAAATATATTTCATGAAAATTACTGAAGCAGTGAAAAATGCATAAAATATTCTCTAAAGGAATATTTATGTTAGTTAAAATTGTGTGGGCTGACCGAGTGGCGCATTGGTTAAGAGTTGGCCTGGGACGCCAGCTCTGAGTAGCAGGGCCCTGGTTCAGACCCCACATGAGGGCCAGTGACGCTGCACCCTCTACAGCTAAGATGGTGAACAATAGCACCACCTGGAGCTGGTCTGCCGTGAGTCACCAGCGATGGCATAGGCTGCAGCCCCTGCTATAGTGGGCTACTGTAAGCTACCATGAGTGGCCAGCAGCCAGCATGAGTTGCCGACAGCTGGTATGAGCTGCC